TTCCAAACAGCCGTCGCTCACCGCCGCAGTTCATCGCCGATTCTGTCCATCCCATGCGTCACCGCCGCAATTCAGCCGACGTCACCACTCGACCGCCGCAGTTCAACGCCGATAGCGAACGGCGGGCACAATGGTCCTCAAACTCAGTTCCACCTCTGATTGCTTCCCCAAAACGGCGGCAGGGCCGGCTCTACTCTTAGGCGGTGGCCTAAGGCCCAGCTAATAGGAAGGGCCCAAAAATTTTAAAATTTACTTATATTAACTTCTATTATAATTATTGTTTAATATTATTAAACCCTAATAAATATAAAAAAATTTATATTAGGCCTCAAATCTTTATATCTTAAAATAATATTTTTGTTTATTCACTATTCGATTTTATATCAGGCCTCAAATATTTCTATTCTAAAATAACTTATTTTTTATCTTTTTTATCTCTCCTTATTTATTCCGATTTTATGTTAGGCCTCAAATATTTATATTCTAATTTAACTTCTTTTTTTTCTCTTTTCTCTCTTCTCTCTCGTTACGTTGAACTCTAATTAATACATAAATTTAATTTTACCCTCCAAAGATTTACTTCCTTATATGACTTTTTTTCCCTCTTTTTTCTACTCCCATTCACGTTTTACAATAAAAACAAAATAGAAATTTAATTTTAGGCCCTAAAAATTTGTATCATTAAATTTTTTTTTTTTTTTTTTCCTCTTTCTTTCTCTCTCATTCATATTTTTTACAGCAACACTAAAAACATTTTGGGTAAGATACACCAACAGTAAAATATTAAATATCTATTTAATATTGTTTGGAAAAATGATGAAATTTTTTCATTATTTATTTTATTTTTTATTATGTTTTATGTTTTTCTTTGAATAAGTCTTCTCCTCTCACTCTCATTGCAAGTTTACAGTTATTATGAACACATTTTTATTTTATTGAAAATTTGTAGAAGTATTGGATTTGGGTTTTCCAAATCAGGTTAAATGGTTCTTTTTCTTTAATTATTTTTTTTATTTTAATAACTTTTGTTATTATAAATTTGGGTGTATATATATTTGTATATTTTGTTTTTGAGTTATGACTAATTTTATTTATATTATTAAAAAGGCTACTTTTTTTTTTTTCGCCTAATGCAAATTAGATTGTAACTCCCGATATAGCAGTAAAAGCAAAACGTGTAGGTGGGTCGACTCATCAAGTTCCCATTGAAATAGGATCCACACAAAGAAAAGCACTTGCTATTCGTTGGTTATTAGCGGCATCCCGAAAACATCCAGGTTGGAATTTTTGCATTTAAATTAAGTTCCGAATTAGTGGATGCTGTCAAATTAGATTGAGCCGCCCCTGAACGGCGGGCATGATGGTCTAAGATTAGCGTCACCACCTTTGTGGTCGTTGTGAGTGGTCCGAGCTCTGCGTCGCTATATATATATATATATACAAATAGAAAAGTTCTCAGGCAATCCAAAAAAGCCGACTATTGAACAGTCTTTTAAGGGGGTAAGTGCATAAAACACCTTTAAGTATACTTTTTGTAGTAACTTTATCCTTTATTTAAAAAAGTGTGTAATAAACACACCTAATTTTTTAAAATTGTGTAAAATTATCCATTTGTCAGAAATCTTACATAAATTATTGTTGTAATACCAATCTTACCCTTTTACTCTTCCGAAAATAACCCATAAAACTGTGTCACTTTATAATTTAGCCTTCAATTATATATTAATATTTATAAAAAAATTGTATTGTTTCTGGTGGCTGTTGGCGACGATGATAATGAAGGTGAAGGAGGTGCCAGAACATGCAGAGATCGTCGGACCAGTTCTATGGCCACAGCTTTCTCTCATCTCATGTCATCACTTCGTATCTGCTTCACCCCCAAATGCAATTGTAACGAGTCAGCCATGGCTGCAGAATGCTCAAAGTTTTGAATGATCCGATCGAATAGCTTACCACTGGCATAATCCGTTGTTTATAATGACGTTGTCGGCGGCGGTGTTGATTGGGTGCTTTGCCATCAATTTCACATTTTATCGATTGCTTGACCAACAAATCCTTTACCTGAAGATGATGACCTCGATTCCCTAAGGTCACGGTCATCATGACGCCGGAGAGAAATTGAAGTCGGTTGAGTGTTTGGAAAGCCGATTTTGAAACTTCATCGAGTTAGCCAGAAATGCATAGGAGCCTTCATCGCCGTCCGGATACGGAATTCCAGCGTAGATCGACCGCAATTTGCCGCCTGCGAGCACCATCTCCGCATGCGGCTCAACACAGCTGCCATTTTCCGGTAGAGAGGAGACTAACGACGCCGTTCACCAAATTCACTATGCGACTATATGCTTTGAACAACAGTGATTGAAACAGAGCTTAAAGACAAAATAAAAAACAAACAAAAACCAAACAGAATGAGAAACAAATCAATTGAATAAGCAAACAGAAAACAAAGCTTTGATCAAATCAAATTAGGTTTTTGATTACCGACTCTCTTGTTCTCCGGCACGGCGGAGATGAAAGCCATGAGTTCATGGTTGCCTCAGCCACCGTCTCCCCCATTAACGCCACAGCCTCCGAGGTCACCGCCACCTGGGACATCTCTCTTCTGATAAAAAAATAACACCAAGCTCACCGACAGTCTAGATGCCTCACTCTTCTATGCCAATTTTCTCCTATAACCCAGACAGAATTGTAGCAAAACGACAATGTTATGTTTTATGGTCCTTTTTGGTCTTTTTACAAAATTTTGTATTTTTATATATTTTATAAAATTATTGACTAAGGGTACTTTGGTCATGTTTGATTTTAAATGTGCAATAGGGACTTAATTGCACCAAATTGAAACTTGAGGGGTGTTTTTTGCACGGGAGTGGTGTGATATGCATTATATGCATACTTGAGGGGTGTTTTTGCACTTAACCCGTCTTTTAAGTGAAGTATATTTTTAGGACTTAAAATCCATGTTGGTGGGACCACTTTTAAAAGGGCGGCTCTTTATTATGTCTCTCTCATCTCTTTGTCTCTCCAACCTAACTTCAAGTACCAAGAGGGGAGATCCGGCGAGAAGCTATTGACGGCACAGTAACCCACGGCCAGAAAACACACACCCACGTGTCCGGCGACACGTTTTCTCTCTCTTCTTTTAGTTTATCAAATTTTTTTCCTGCCGGTGAAGAAACAATCCCACGGGCTTTGTCGTAGCCGGCTTTCCCTATCCTTTGGCGATATGAGAGTTGGTGGATTAGATTTGGGTTTTGCTAGGATTCGACATCAATTGAATACTCCGATGATTGATTAAAAGAAGGGGGAAAAAGTGATAACGAGAGGGGAAAGGGTTTTGCAGAGTAAGGGACTAGAGAGAAAGGATGTGCGCATGAAGAGAGAGAAAGGTTTGTGCAGATTAGATTTCTGAACAACGACAATAATAGTGGAATTTCTGCAATGAGCCCGCAGGCAGTGGACGGATGGTAACAACGGCATGAAGTATTCTTACTGGCAAGCATGGAGTCCGGCAAAGACAACGACTGTAAAAGCCGAACAACCCGAACTGCCGGTAGCCAAGGATGAATCACACCGGCGTTTCTGTTTTAACCGGCGATGCAAGGAGAGTGATAAGGCAAACAACAGACTTAGTCTACGCCGAGAATTGGGTTTCAGTGGTCCCACCAATATGGATTTTAAGTTTTAAAAATAGACTTCACTTAAAAGACCATTCAGGAGTTCGCTTTTTGGATCGCTTGAGAGCCTCTCCCGATATCCAGATAGACATATATATATGTATATGTATATATATGCCTCTGTGTTGAGACTTAGGTGTGTGCAAACATTTGGGACTGGGTGTGCCCAGTTTTCGGTGAGATGAACGCACGAGAATGTTAGAGATGAAATGAATGGGTAAAATGGTATTTTTATTGGTCAATTCATAAGTCAATGGGTAGTAATGTCCAAAAAATTGGTTTGAAGTGTGTTTGTTAACTTTATCTATATTAGGGGGTGTCATTGTTCAAACAGTGTCAAAGTTGTATATAAATGTCTTAAACTCAAACCTGGGGTGGTGAGTGCAAATTACCCAAAATAAAAAAAAATTAATAATCTATATATTTTACTATTTATTTATTAAAATAAACATTAAATATAAAAGGGCATTCATATAACATAAATTTATTTATTTTATAAGTATTTGAAATTAAAACCGTATTTTGATAAGTAAAATCATTTTCTTTTCCTTTTTATGCTATTCAAATTAATAAAATAATATTTTTTCTCGCAATTTTTGTCAAAAAATTTCTTACTAAAATGTATGATGGAAATTGGGCATGAAATAGAAAATTGTATAAAAAAAGTTTAGTTTTCTAAAAATCATTTTCTAAAAACTCAGTTATAAAAAGATTCAGCCTTTACTTAATTTGTAACTCTGTGGACAATTTTCAATTATCAAAAAATTGAAAATAGAAAATTATATAAAAACTCTGCTTGATTCAGTTTTATAAAAGCTATTTTTAAAAACTTAATTATAAAAACACATGTTTTAAAATAATTATCTTTTATTAATATCTAAAATTTATTTTTTATTTTTCTGAATGTCTAAAATCTATCTTTAAAATTACAAAACAAAACCCGCCTTTAATTTTTCTTTCTTTTATTTCACTCCTTTCACTCCGACATAATTTTTGTATCTAACAAAACGGACCTGAAGCATAAGAAGGATGAATCTGATATTGATGGGCACCTGTCCGTGGTTACCTAAAATTGCGTCAGAAAGAATTATGATCCCCACACAAAGGGTACTGTAGACTTTTATGAAGCGCGGGTCCGTTACACGGTGCAAAGCAGACACATGGCGCATGCATGTATCTATTTATAAAGTTAGAAAACATAGACAGAGAGAAAGCGAAACGTGGAAAGCTTGAGCTTTGCCACATGTGCAATGAAGCAAACATGCGTATATAAAAACATATACGTAGTATATAAGAGGGAGAGATATCTCTTAGAACAAATTAAAGATGGATTTGAGAGGAATAGGGCAAGTGATGAAGGACTCAAAAGGTGATAACAACCACCCAGTTTCTTCTTCTTCTGATGGCCGTAGCAACCCACATGCGGATGCGGATTCAGCCACCGCCCTCCAACTCTTTCTCGATCGCATCCCCATCAACTCAATCCCCGGCATCAATAACTCATCCACCGGTAATTTAAATATATACATATATACACGCATGTTCTTATATATATTTATTATATATTTTCTTGGCTAAGTCACACATGTTCATATAAAGTATTATTATTGTCTTCATAGAGCTCAAAGATTCTGGTATGACCCACATTTTGTCAAATTTAATGCACGTCAAAATTGGAAGAAATTAAGTTGTCCAATTTCAAATCCAAATTAAGCACCATTTCTGTGCTTCCTGATGCAATAAATGCTTAATTATTATGCATTTCTAATCTCATATGTTGATTGATTAAAGACAATAGAGTATGTTTCAGTTGTTTTCTTATACTAGCAGATTTGACGTTGAAATTGAACTTATCCACAATGCAATGAAGTGTGTTTTGTATCTTTGGGTGTTCTTCAATTTTTAATAATATGCATGGTAATTGGCTGTTTCTTCAAATTTTATAGTGTTACTGACGATACGATTTTGGACGGATGATTTTAGGGTTATTTGCTAGGGGAAAAAAAAAAAAAATTGAAAACAGACATTATTTTTGGTTATGGAGTTGTCTAGATCGATCGATCAATGGAGCTCAAAGTTTGTGCAATCATTAGCAACATTTTTAACATAATCTGTAGAAAATGCATTTTTACACCCATTAACAACTTAAGGTTTTAGGGAAACGGGTTGTTAATACAAGTGGCAATCTGATACTGGAGCACATGATTTGTTCTTGAACATATATGTATGTATGTATATACTTCTATGATGGTTCTTTTGCAATTTGAACTTTGCAAGTTTCGGAACTCAAAAAGGGAGATTGCCTGGCGGATGCTATTCGTTTGATGTATAAGAAGAATGTGTTTGGTGCTCCTATAGCCGACGATGTGTTAGATAGTGATACCACCACCAATAAATTCTTGGATAAGTTCATGGGTTTCATTGATTTTCCTACCATGGTTCTCTGGTGTCTTGAGGTAATTTCCTTCACATTGGTTTTTATCGATTTTGTTAGCATGGTTCTTTCAGGAATACCAAAATTTTCTGAAATATTCAAAAAAAATTCTCAAATTTATCATATTTCATATTTCTATAATTATAGAATTAAGACCTCATGTTTTTCATATTTCTACCAAATGTTGTGTTTTTTTAGCTCAAAAATGTTTCCAAGATTATGATGTAATTGTTACTCGAATATTTTCCCAAATTGCAATTATTCTTGTACCGTAATTCTGAATTTGGTACTATGTTTCTTGGCCTCTTGAGGTAAATTTTTTTTCCTACAAGCCCAAATTCACATGCATTTGCATAAAAACAGCAAATTGATGGTTTATTACCAGTTAATGCTAGTAACTTGAGCATGCTGACAAAATTCACATAAATGGCCATCGCAGGAATGTGAAGACGTTCATATTCATACGAAAGATGAGGAAGGCAATGAGATGGGCAGCAACAGTTTCTTCTCCATGCTAGATCAGAATCCTCGGGTCGCCCAAACTAAGGTGTCTTTTCCCTTCACTCTGTTGTTGAATTGATTACATGCATCCACAATACTAACTACCAAATGCAGATTTTACACATCGGTTTTTAAGTACATGTTGAATTCTAAAACGAGATGTCAATACATATAGAATGTCCTGTCCAATTCATGGCTTTGTGCGTGTCTCTGCGCATTCTTTACCGCTTTGTTCGTTGTTTAAATGAGCAGATTGGTGAGCTAGCAAAGTCATTCCTTTGGGATCCTTTCTTCCCTGTAAATCTGGAAAACACTCTCTTCCATGTTATGCTGCTGCTTTCCAAGCACCCCCTTCAGTTCGTTCCTGTTACTGAGCAGTCCAGCTCTAAGGTCATTGGCTTCGTTTCGCAGGTAGCTTAACAAATTAGTAATTTTTATCTGTTTGTTGATATAGTAGTTTATAAACTAGACCGAAATGGTCTCATTTGGTATATGAATACATGAATGTGCACGAGAAAACAAATGAAAAAAAATTATCAATATTATCAGGTGATCTGATGTATTGGCTGGTTCAGATTGGAGGATTATTATTATTATTTATTTTTAGTGTGTCCTATTAAAGCATCAAATTGAGGTTCAAATGGCTTGACTCAAAGTGATTCCTTTGGGACGTGTGTTTTTCATCCGATAAATTTTTTTTATATGTATAAACTGCATATTGCAAGTCAATACGTAACTCTTTGCTTCTTGTAGAATGCAGTAATCCAGTTGCTCTTTCAATCAAGTGGACTGGAGTGGTTTGATAGCATTGCAGACAAGGCTCTATCAGAGTTCCAGTTGTGACCAAATTTATTACATTAAGAAATTTGTTTATATATATATATATCATATTAGTTGACCCATACGGAGACCAATTTGTTTGTTCTTTGTTCAGTTACGAAAATGACGAGCATGTTGTTCATGTTTATGGAGACCAGAGCATTGCAGAGGCCATCCACATTTTGTGGAAAAAAAGAATTGGAGCAGTTGCAGTTGTAGAACGTGAAACCAATAGGCTCATTGGTTGCGTGAGGAGCACCGACCTACATCTTCTTCTAGACAATGATGATCTGTTTAGCAACAGAAAGTAAGTTCCGTTTTATTTACCTTGTGGGAAAAAAAAGTAAGTTCTGTTCATTTCATTCTCTTCCGTTCTATGTTTTCCAGGGTTAGTTCTTTAGATCGCAAAAGAATTTGCTTGCCTCACTAGAAGTTATTAAAAAAATTTTAAAAATCCTAATAGACTACTTCAGGTTAGTACTGTACTTTCAAAATTAACAATCTGATCAAGACATACAATTATATTCCCTGAGGAGGTTCCACCCCGTGGAAACGTTCTTTAATGGAACTTTTAGCTTTATCCGGTCGTGACCATGAAACCACTGGATTCACTTGGGCTGGAAATGCCCGACTTTTTGAATTATCCGGTTAGGCAGTTAACTAGGGGCTCATGTTGCCCATGCCGGATTAGTGTATTCTGGGCTGGAGCAGGGATTCACAGATTTTTTGAACAAAACATCAATCTGCCTTTGAGTTGAGATTGGAATTGAATTTTGATTGAAGAAAGAGTAAGCCTATTTATTTCTAGCGGGGTTTGTTGCTAAAGCATGGGTGTTTTGTATCCATCGAACAAATACGGGTTGTAATTGTATAGTGGTATCTGAAAACATATCTTGGGGACGCCCTAAAGCGCTCGTGATAACATTACGAATATAGAAACCAAAACTGTGAAAGCCTAGAAATATATATATATATATATACATGCCCAGTTGAATTGCTTTGATGGACAATTATGAAGTAAACTTGTCGAGTAAGACGAGATGAAACTTGAATCTTGATTGACACAATTTCAGGAGTGTGACAGTGGAGAAATTCATTCATATGGACACCAGCAAAGTAGACTCTGATCCCACCATTGAACGAGACCTTGGGGCTCTTCTTTCAGCGGGGACTCCCGCTCTAAGAAACAACTTCCTTCCGAGGATGGACTCACCGGTCACCAACAGGAAAACCGACACTCTCAAGCAAGCCATGAAAAATTTAGCCGAGAGGAAATGCAATTTCAGTTTCCTAATTGACGAATCGCATCAAGTAAAAGGTATGCTCATATTGAGAGACATTATTACTCAGTTTTCGCCACCTTCTGTCGATTCAACGTTCAAAGGGGGTGGTTTCTTTGACACTGCATTAGAACAAACTGGGTGTCACGTAGAGAGAGGAACCATAATTTGTGATCATTGATATGTTATCTATTCAAGGCTCTATACTTTCATCAACAATCAAAATTTTTATTTTTTTCCCAATTTGTAGTGGCAAGTTGACTTCAGCATATAGATGTACAAACACTAATAATTTTTTTTTTTTTTTTTTGGGAATAGACAGTACGTAATCTCGGTTTTTTGTTGCATAGTGAAATATTTTCGCCAATCCTCATTATGGACGTATGTTATATGCTGAACAACGTAAATCTTTGTAGTTTGCATGGGTTTGTGGTAACATTCCAATTTATGATTGAAGCAGTTTATGCACATTAAAAATCACATAATTAAGCATCACTGAGTATCGAAAAGAAAAATTAAATAATGTCAGGACCCAAGCTGCCCTTTCCAAAAAGACCATTTACTTGTAATATATTTTTCCTTAAATATATACTTGTATGAGAAGTTGGTTCGAGTCAGTTAATTAACATAACTATTTTCTTTTAAACAAAAATAATAATTTTTACTTTTTTTTTTTAACACAACAAAAGAACATAATTAACAACGGTTCCAATTGTCCACAAGCTCATTCATTATATAATAAAGATAGGAAAGAAAGGGAAGTTTTGTCACTGCAAAATAAACATGTTCCCAACTTAAATCAAGGTGATATGTCTTCCCAAAAAGCAATGTACATGTTCGAGTCAAATGTTTATGTTATTTGTGCTTCATTGGGCAGAAAGGAAGGAAGGAGTGTTTTAGAGAAGATACGGAGGGAAAAATAAACTTTTTTCATTCAGTAAAGAGCAGACGATGAGAGAAAAGATGTTTTTCTCTTTTATAAATTTTCATCCTCCAAATAAAGATGATGGATGTTGTTTGGGTTGGTTACTTGAAACACATTCATATAAATATTCACCTAAAAAAAAAACGTACATAAAAAAATGAGGGTGACACATTCCCTTTTATAGGGATGCCCCATCCATTCCTTTCCCTCTCCCTTTTATATATTTTTCCATCCCTCCAACCAAACGAAGTATAATAGTTACACAACTTGGTCATCTACACATAGCATTGGAGGCCTATAAATAGGGTGATTGGGATTACATTCGATGTCAATTTCTTTAAATTATCATTTATCTTTTCATACATTACAATGTTTTGTATTAATTTCAATACAATTTTTTTCATTTAAAGTCTTTGCACTTCAATTCATTTGTATATTTTCGAATTACACTTCAATTCTTTTACATTTCTTACACTTGCATTATATTGCAATGTTTAGACTAAAAGTCTTTTCATTTAGGCATAAAGAATCTAGTTAAAGTTTTTTAATTTTTTTCTACTCAATCGTCTAAATGATATTTTGGTTTGATTCCTCAATTTTTTCTATGACCTGGCACGCCCTGTACACTTCCACAAACAATTCGTGAGCGAACAACTAATATCTCAAAAATTATTGCTCAATGTTATTCAATATTCAACAAGTAATAATTATATTTAGGGTTAAAATTATAAAATTCCTACTACTTTTAAATTTTGATCATAAAACTCTAACTTGTTTCGGAAAATTCCTACATTTTTAAAAAGTGATTCATATTACCCCAATATCCATATTACACCAGTTAACCGGGCTATGAAATGACAAATTTAACTTTACTATTTAATGTAAAATTTAAAATTTAAAATTATTTTTTAAATTTACAAAAATCAGGTTTTAGAGAGGGGGGTGAGTTTTAGAGAGGGGGTGAAGACTGAAGAAGAATGTTAAAGGGTATTTTTGTAATTTTTAAGAAAATAATTTTTAGTTTTTAATTTAACATTAAATATTAAGGTTAAATTTGTCATTTCATGGTCCGGTTAATGATCGGACACGGATATTAGGGCAGTTTGATCACTTTTTAAAAGTGTAAGAGTTTTCTGAAAAATGTTGATTTTATAATTAAAATTAAAAAATAATGAGAGTTTTATGATTTTAACCTTATATTTATTTTTGGAAACATTTAATGTATTTAAATGTATAGGGCAATTGACGTGAAGCTTGATCCAGTTAATCTGCATTATTGTAATCTATTATGCCCTCATTCTTTTTACTCCTAATTCAATGTTCCGAAACATAGTTGTTCTTCATTCTACTTGCTATTGAATATAATGTACATATATATATATATATATATATATATATTCTTTTCAATTATTATTTTTTTTTGTCAAAATGGATGGGCTTTTATCATCAACAACATATACATCAAAATTCAAAGACATTTCATATCTGAAATGGATGGTTGAAAAAAAAAAAACCATTTGCTTATAAGTTAAAGGTATAATATTCTTTCAGATTGAAGGTCTAGATTGAAATAAGGCGAATTGCAAAAAACTTATGAGCTTTGTTAGCGTATGCATTAATATTAAATAAGGCGAATTGCAAAAAAACCCCCACGACTTTCATCTGTTTGCAAAAAATTCCCCTTATGAATATCTTCACTACACAGCACTTCTCAAACGGACCCTTAGCAATTAATCTCCCTCAACTATTATGAGGGAGTCATTTTAACTAACATCTGCTAGAGTGATTGTGTAAAGAAAATTTTTAGACAAAATTACCCTTAACATGAAACATCCATTTGAGTGATTGTGTGATAAAATTTTCGGATGAAATTACCCTTAAAATCAAAACAATACATTAATATTACTAAAGTACCTCCCACTCACTTTTTCTTTTTCTTTTCTTTTTTTTAATTGCATAAAACGCTAAAACGAGGTCTCTAATTTTGAAACGTGACCTTTGATTTTTTCTTTCGAAATGTTCTTGCATTTGTAATATATATAGTTATATGATAGTTATTTATTAGATGTCAACTTAAATTGATTTTGGTGAAAAAGAAAAAAACTTAAATTGATTTTTTATAAAATAAGATAAAGAAAGAGGTATATACAAAAGATCCAAAAATATCATTACCATGATTTTTTATAAAATTTAAAAGTAGAAATTTATCAAACTATGTGGCAAAATCATCTCATAATTAGGAGGAAGTGCTTTTTTCATTTTCTGTGTGTGAGTAGCATATCACAATTTAATTAAAAAGTATTGGAATTAAGATTTATAATGTTGAAATAAATCAAATTTTATGTCATAATAAACACTTTTTCTACAGAATAAATAAATAATTAAAGATAGTCCAAACAAATATTTGTTATTTAAGTGAAATATATTTTGACTATAAAAAAATAAAAAACAAGTGTGAAATATGTTTTGGGGGCTAAGGGAGGGGGATTTTATTTTGATATTATGGTGGACGCCATTAGATTTTTTTTTGGTATGTTATATTCATATTTTTTTAGAATCTTATAAATTTCTACTTTAAAATTTTTTAAAAAATCATTGTACAAGTTTTTTTTTTTTTTCCTTCACCAAAATCAATTTAAGTTGACATTTGATAAATAACTACCATATTACTATATATATTTCAAATGCAAGAACATTTTGAAATAAAAAATCAAAGGCCTCATTTCATAATAAGAGACATTGTTTTAGTGTTTTATGCAGTTAAAAATAAATAAATAAAGTGAGTGATGGGTACTTAAGTAATACTAATGTATTGTTTTGATTAAAATTTTATCACACCATCATTCTAACATAGGTTAGTTAAAATGATGCCCTCATGATAGTTGAGGAAGGTTAATTGCTAAAGATATTCATAAGGGATATTTTTTACTAACGGATGAAAGTCGATAGGATTTTTTTACAATTTGCCCTATTAAATATTCTAAACTATAAAAAGTTACAAATATCTGAATAGCCCAATAGGTTAGTGTCTTCGATTACACCTACTAATCTAACTTTTATTCCGAAATCAATTGACGAACCTATCATTTTTCATATATATAACTATTAAAAGCCTCCAAATTTTTATTTTTTATTTTTATTATTATTTTTTTATATATGTAAATTTTCAAATTACAAAAATAGTATTTTTCGTATACCGAACAAGACTGCGCGTACATCTCACCCTCCAAATTCCGGTTAATGTCCAAACTCGAGCTACCCGGCTCGACTAGGCCCTAACGAGCGTACCCGTCATTTCCCAACTTAAGGACTAACCAAACCTGACTCGGCCCTATTAGCCATTCCCATTCGGCATTCATACGGCTCTAAAAGCATTCAACTGAACTCATCTCTTCGTCTTTCAACCATTCTTCAACCGCTTTTCAATCTCTCCACTGCTTCACAATCTTCGCAGGTAATGCTTCTTTTTCGATGAACTTTTCAGTCATCGAACCATAATCTGATCGTTGATTAGCTCCAACTAAATTTCCCAATATAACATATAGATACATTATATCTCTCTGCATTTCTCTCTGTACATGTTCGCTTTTTGGAAATTAGGGTTTCTAATTTAGTGTCTGTTCACTTTAGATCTAATTCTCGATAATTCTATGTTAAGGGTTACTTCTATGTATTAAACTCTTAACCATTTGTTTGGCTGCTGAAAATTTTATATCATATTATAATGTTGTTTTGATTCTAGTCATTGAATGCTCTCATTAGTGAAGCCAAGTAGCTTTTCAGTGAAACCTTGATTCTCTCATTAAGATACCATAATTTATTTTGCTTCTTTGTTTAGCTTTTTCATGCAACTAAACTGAACATACTATAATTAATTTTGTGTATTTGAACTTTTTCTCAAGTATAAATATATACATGTATCTATATGCTTGAGTTGATTGGGGATTTCTGTGAGATCTGTAGGATTGTGGAGCTTAATTTGCATGGATGGTGTTGGAGGTGATGGTGCTACAGTAGCAAAACCTTTGAACCAATGGAGGCATCATTTGTGGATGTTTTATCAGTCTTATATAGATAAAATTACCCCACATGCTGTTTACAGATGGATCGGAGCCTTCATTTTAGGATCTTTTTATGCTTTGCGAGTCTATTATGCTCAAGGGTTTTATGTTGTCACGTATTGTCTGGGCATTTATATACTCAATATGCTAGTTGATTTTTTGTCACCTATTGATGACCCCGAGCTGGAACCTTCAGATGGGCCTTTGCTACCGACCAAAGGTTCTGAAGAATTCAAGCCTTTCATTCGCCGCCTCCCCGAGTTTTGGTTCTGGTAATTGTATGTCACCCTTTGCCTTTGTTTCTCCTTTTTTCTTTTGTACACTGTGTGCTATTAGGTTTTCCTATTATTTATCTCTTCTCAGCATGCTATAGCCTATAGCCGATTCTTTCATGCTTTGTGCCTTTATAGTTTGTCTAATCTAGTTGTTTTTGAATTGCTGATTCTGTTTCCTTTTAACTTTGAATTATTTGATTTAGAAAATTAGATTTGATATTGGATTGCTTTGGGCAAATTATAACAGCAATACTGGGCAGGATATCTTGGAAATCTTGGGAAATTTGAAAAGGATGTTATCAGATAATAATTTTTTAATTTCACATAAAATAAATGACCCTCAAGAGTCAAGAAATGGGACAATATTATCCGACTATTTTGAAGAAGCTGCATTGCATTTTCCTAAATTTTTATGGTGAACTCATGCCATATCCCTTTCCTTTAACAGTTTTTATTTTATTTTGTTGTAGAGAGGTGGATGTTTCAATAAAGTGGTGTCATATCCCTGTCATTTAGCAGTTCCTTTTTGAGAGTTGGAAAGCCTATTTTAGATAAAGTTGTGCCATAGTCCCCCCTCCCTCTAGATATATGGAAAGTTTGTTTACAATGGTGGAATTCTATTGTCCTCATAAATCATTGCTAATAGAAGATCCTCAAATACAAACCTCAAATTTTTGACATGATATGGGTCAGTTTACTTCATGCATTACCATACTTAAATTGTAATAGCTCCCTATCCTTCTTAAAGTTTGCGTAAGTAGCATTATGTTGCTGGGATTTTTTTCCTCCTTTTTTGATATTCTATATTTGATACTAAAATTAATAAAGCATGGAATGCAACGATTTTAATAAAATTATTGCATCTCATAAGTTGGGGGACTCATTGGAGTAACAAATGCCAGTCATCCTTGGTGATGGCTGTAACCTGTCTAATATTTAACTGCATCATTGTAGAGTTTGGTGATCTAACAGTTTTGGTTTGCAAATGTGCCTTACTGCGTGTTTTTATAAAGGAAAGTGAGATATGTGTTGAAGAAATTTTCATCTCCACAAGTCTGGTTTCATTTCCAAACTCTAAAGTCTCCTACCTTTCAGAACTATGCCAAATGTAGCAGAGGCCTATATCGTGTACATCAAAGTGCTTAAGGGCTCAGATTCATTTTAGATGTCAGGATCTGCCAGTTCCTTGGGTGCAAGGGCCGTGTTGCAAACCACTTCTGCCTAAAACAAATATTTGATAATTATATGATTAAGTGGGTATGACCTGGAGAATAACATTGGGTTCTTCAGGAGGGTTTATATCTATTAGATTGAACTCTTCCTTATTACATATGTTGTTTTATTAAGACTGTATTACAAGGAAATGGCAATTAGAATGGTGTATAATGCATTTTTCTGTAAACTAGATAGTTAGTGATTAGACAATAATGTACAAGGTTAGAAGGAAATTAGGTCTTTCTGTTGGGGAAACGGAAGTTTTTAAATGAGGGATTTTCAAATAAAGATCTTGATTCATGTGTAGAGACAAGTTTTATGCATGAAGAACATAATGATTCATTCAATTAGAGATAGAAAACTTACATCAAGGTTTGAGTAAACCTTAGATCTTTCCTCTAAAGTGAATGTTCTCACTTATTATAGATCCCTTTGCCATATGCCTCTTCCTTGGATCTTCATCTTGTTGGTAATTAACTTGCCTTTAGGAATCACCCATAAGCCTCCATGAATGACCTTGGAGAGTTGAGCTTGTGGGAGCCTCCATCAGATGATAACACTAACCCTAAAATCTTAAAGAGAGAAAATATTTTCTTATCTTCTAAAAATTATTGCACAAAGGCGCACCTAAAATATACATAGACCCCATGTATATATAGGCAAAATAAAAATAATAATTGAAGACAATATATTCTTCTCAATCTCTAAAATTCACGTGATATCTCAAATCTAATGGGCCTCCAATATGAAGTTGGGCTATGAGTGAGAATCCTTTGGGTTTATTATTTTCTTGGCTACAATGAATTAATACTTGGCCTGATCCATTATACCGTGGACCCAATTCAATTGATTCATAAATTAATTTCTACTCCACTAAAAGAAATTAATTGAACTCCAATTAAATAATAAATAACCTCTAATTCAATGTTGTATTTTGACCCATCTATGCATGATTAGTTATCGGATAAATAAAGTCATCAATCCGATTACTAATTTAATATATATTTATTTTGGTACATTTGATTATTTACGACTTGATCACAATAAAATATTTGTTTGACAAAAATAATAATTTAAATAAATAAATATATAGAAAATCATTTTGTCTAAAAACACGAAGGCCTTCGAATTTACTTTATGATCAACCATAATCAATACAAAATAAATACAAGTAGCAATGATGCAAATATTGAAAATATAACCCTCTAACTATTAATTACATAATTACCTAAAGTACCGGTTTATGGATTCCGAAGAATCCACCGAACAAATTAAAGTAATTACTAATTAATAAAAGAGTTTCATGCTTAAAAGTCAAATGCCATGACAGTGATAGGGAGCAATTACATAGGACGACTCTCACAATATATCTCAACCTAACGCGAATCCGGTTCAAGTCTTAGTTAATAATGAGTCCATCGATAATTACTGACTATGAATAATTTATGATTACTATTTATGTTCATGTATTGATCACCATCACGTACATATAAATATCTCTTGTAATTAAATGGACACTATCAATTTCATAATGAATTGAAACATAATACATTGAATTCACCAATTGTATAAAGTATAAATATTTTAGATATGTTAGGAACATATGTCACTTTAATCCAAATAGGAATTCACTATGCCAGGGCATACAAATCCCAACACTTTCATCTAGTATGGTTATAAGGCTAAAAGGAAATTAGGAATTTGATCCAGTATGTCATAAACTTAAAATGAGGCACAACACCAAAAGAAAGTTTTTCTCTTGACATTCCAATTTAGTATGGTAGCAGCTTCATATTTGGACACCTTAAAATTGTTACTTTTCTTATTTGGTCTGGACAACAACTTCTAAACACTGTTGGGAAATTCTGAGAGTCCCCAATAAAGTCAATATATCTTATAAAACTTTTTATTATTCTCTCATAAGCTTCATAATCATTTCACGTGTAACCGTGCATCTGTGCCTGCACCAATGTTTTCATCTGTATTCATGAAATTGCAGCTTTCTCACCTCAGTAGATCCTGCTTGCATTTTTACCATTTATTCCTCTTTATTTATTCAACAAAAAACTTATTATGCTGTGGTAGCATGATAAAGATCTTCTATTCATGTGACAAAAGTTATATATGTATATATATATATATATATATATATATATATATATATATATGTATGTATGTATGTATGTATGTATGTATATATATATGCTATGTGGTTATGTATTCAATCTCGTCATCTGATGCCTTCTCATGGATGAGTTATTCTTTTGCCCACATAGATAGTTCAAATAGTACAGCAGAGAAAAAGAACTCATTCTATAATTGTTGCTAACATAATTCGTACATCATCGGCTTGCTTGATAATATAGCTCATGGTATTTAAGAAGAAGACTTTATTTTAATGTTTTTGAAGCAGTACGTAGCTAATTTTGGCCAAGTTTAATAATGTTTTTACTTGCAGTTGTGAGCAACATTGCAACACGGGTTAATACTTTTTTTTTTTTTTGAATATTAATACTTCCTTCTTCAGGCCATACATTTTTGTCTAAGAATTTTTTTATTTTTATTTTATTTTATTTGTTCAACATTGATATCACCTATTTATCTCTTATTTGTGGCAGTGGGAAGTCACCTTTGTATGCATTGTCTCGATAAATATTAACTTTTTGTGCTTAGTAGTGGCAGTTTTCAATCTAGACCTTCTATCTTCTCAAAACCTATATAAAAAAGCTCTCTCTGTCTCTCTCTGTCCATACGTAGACACATATATTCTTTCCCTCCCTCTCTGTCTCCCCATACATATACACACATATTCTCTCCATACACATATATTTTCTCCCTCTCTCTCTCTCTCTCTATATATATATATATATATCAATCTCTATTTATCTTCCTCTCATTATGCATTTGATCTCCTTATAACTTATATTGCTATATGCATATCTTATATGCTCTCCGATACATTTTTGTTTTCCTAGTTGTGCTTTCCGATACTTTATTTAAAATGTTTTAAATCATTAATTGATCAAAATAAATTCTAGTTTTCCTCATTTTTAGTGCCGTGAATTTTCTTTTGTTCTCATTTTTTGTTAACACTTAACAAGTCCCCATGTCCTGTACGTGCAGAATTTTTACATTTTTATAATTTGTTTAAATTCCATAAATTCACAGGATAAGCCTGTAATTGATGCTTTGTTCAGTATCAATAATTTGTTTTATCATTATCCATTTTTGGACCTCTGAGAACAACTGATCTTAATGGTACACCAAAATTAAGTTGTTTCTCTCTTTTTCTTCAGTATTCTTATTGTAATTATCTTAATCCTTTTGGCCTGGTTATTTCTTTGTTTTGGAATTTAATTTCCTGTGATCGTTAATGTGGTTAAAATGCTGTGTGAACAACCAGACACACACTTTAGGTGGTACCTATATCCATGCAAAACACTGAAGACTTCTGAAAATAGCATGGTTAGGACCCAAGCCTACTAGTAATGACTGAAGACTTACTATTTATCTACTGCACTATGCAAGCTGATCCGACCTAACCAGTTTCCATTTAAAAGCTTCTAGTCATTAACATAATTTCAGAATGTAATTCTTTGGTCATCCCCTTGAGGATGTAAACTTGATAAATTGATATAGAATCTCAACTGAACGGAACTATTTCTCAAATTTCTTGGGGCCAGTTCACAGTATGTTTATTCGTCCGCATTAGTATAATTCTTTTGTTTGTTTTCGTGGTTCCAGGTGTGTAATCACAAGGGCTTTCTGTTTGGCATTTGTCCTGACCTGCTTTTCCACGTTCAATGTTCCCGTCTATTGGCCTATATTACTTTGCTACTGGATTGTGTTACTTTACGTTACAATGAGGCGCCAAATCCTGCATATGATCAAGTACAAATACGTCCCATTCGACATCGGAAAGCTGGTGAGCTCCGGGTAACTTTTAGATATTTTTCCAACTTATGCTTCAACTAGTTATGCAAGCATCTTTTGTTTGCGGCATTGTTGGTATGTGCAACGGTCATGGCCGCCCATCTTGGAACATGTCATTTTTTGAGGTGCTTTTAAATACTAGTACTTTTGTGATTTCTGTTGTTTGGTTGCAGACATATGGTTTCAAGAAAACTGTGGCAAGTAGCAGCAGCTCCTGTGCGGTCTAAAGCTTTGCCAAGTTGTAATTCGGTAATATGGAAAAGGGTGTAAAGAACAAGAAAAAACTAGATAGAAAGATAGAGGCATTCAGGGATTTGAAAACTTACATAGATCTTTATTTTACGAATCGTTGGTCTACACTATTAAGGATTTGATCATGGAATTAGATATAGTAATTCAGTTCTGTCCCATTGTTTGATGATGCTAGCTTTACGTGTCCATGTTGCAAAATAAGTTTAATTAATCTTAGGGCATTACTCAGTAGCCTAGTTGGTTGAAATCCAAATCTCATTTCCAGGTTTATGGAATTGAAATTATGTAATTGAGGTATATGGAATTGAGAATGAATTACAATTCCATACTAGTTTAAGAGAACCGAACAATCAATTTGGAATTGAAAGGTCCAATTCCAAAGAGCCGAACAGACCCTTAGGATTTGTCCCTGCATATTGAAGTTTATGATTGTATACAAGTAGATTGTGACATTTTGACGAATGTTATTTCATATTTGGTTTAAAAAAGTGAGTTGACAATAGAAAGGACAATTGAAGAAAGAGTGGTTTACATTTAATATATTTTTTTATACATTTTTTAAAAGTTGTGACGAATGAACTCCAAGTTCACCTCAAATTTTTATTTTATTTTTGTCACAATAAAATGTGCTTGTATGAATTGACTTGCAACATATGGTTAGGGGATCTAACTGAAATATTGTGTTTCTGAGGTTTATTTGTGTGTTATAAATGCAAACTCATTGTTGCTTAGCAACTCCAATATTCTTGTTTTTCTCACCCGAATGCCCTCATTGTGATTGGGGTCCAGATTATTAGAGATACTAATTGTAATAAGTTAGGTGATTCAAAAAATATTAAGTATTAACACTCAATTCATATATATTTATTTTACTTCCCAATGTGAGACACCTCTAATACACATCAATTATACCCCTTAGGTGTAAGGCCCCACCTGAGAGAGTCTAGTTTAGATTTTAGCCTTTAGGTTCCACAGTAAATTTTCTTGTTACTTAGTAACCTAAATTGTAAACTTAAATTATGCACAAACTTTATATTACTTTTATTACCACTCAGTTCTTTAGTTCATTTGAAATCCTTCTCAGTTATTAACATTAATAAAAATAAACAAATTACTAATTCAACTAGGTTATTATTGAATTTACTATAGTTTGTAACAAAAACAATATTAATACAAACTGTAATCAAATCATTATGACTAAGTCCGAAGAACAAGAAGACCATAAAATGACTATCAAAGAATAGTCTCATGGGCGTTGTAGCAAAGTTTTATTAAAAGACGATGTTGTCTTTCAATAAAATCACTTAGTTCACAATATCCTTATTCTCCGTGTTACATTTTATTGAAAATAATTGCAAAATAATCCTAGTCAAACATGTCATTCTTAAAGTTAAATTTATGAAAAGTATTCATTGAATTTTTTATTTACTTTTCAATTCTTGTTCTTTAGCTTGAATTCAATTAGTTTGTTCTTCCTGAAACGTTTTTGCATGAATGTTTATAATATACGGTCCAACTTACTTGGTGATGTCATTCTTAAAAGTTTCAACTAGAGATCTCCTTTTAGACTTCAAAATATATTCGCAATTAGTGTTAATGTGTTACACCCCTTGGGTGTGCGTGGCATAGAGATATTTCGTCATCTCAAACCTAAAAATTTGAAGGAGAATTTTCAACAACTTTGAGATGAAGAAACTGTAAGGAATAAAGGTTCATACTTTGTAAATATTTATTCAAAATGTGTATATTCTATATAATTAGCATAGTTATGTCAACCTGGTTTAGCGTCCCATCTTTTTATTTTTTATTTTTTATTTTTATTTTAAAAAGTTTTAGGCTTGTCATTGATACCGTAAATTTAATAAATAAAAAAAAGATAATGCTTAGCTACTCACTGGTGAGTAGGGAGAAGCCACTCATTCGTATGTGATCCAATAATAAAATAACACATCACATTTAATAATAAAATAATACACACCTAAAAACACTATATACGTTTATTTAATGGTTGATCCGACAAAATAGAGAAATGTGTGAAGTATTTTATTATTAAAAGTAATGTATTATTTTGTTATTGGACCACATAGTGGTAGCTGAGCATTGTTCATAACAGTATGTATAGACATAATTTTCTGCCAAATACGTAGTGCAGAGGTAAAATGCAATAGTCCCATTTTAGATGTCCGTGTTTGAAAGTCGAACTTTTTAAGAGATTGGTTTTAATATTTTTATTACATTATAATGATTGAATTTTCAAATTTACCCAATGTAATTAGGGTAAATTAAGAATATAACAAAATATAGTTCATTGAGTTTTGAAACAAGACTACTATTGTGGGACAATTAAAAATAAAAAGATCGACAATTTATATGAGAACGAGTGAGCAAGGGAGTTAGGTTCGTTTAACCCAAAAAATGAAGGAGCCAGGGCTGAATATTCTTGAGTGTGGCTTGGTTTACTTAAGAACAAAAAGAAAAATCAATCAATCTGAATATTTATAGTGACCATAAACTATAAATTTCACAACACATAAAACCTTTATATATATATCGATCACTGAAATGAAACGACATAGGTTACAGACTCAGCACATCATCTTTCCTTCTAATCACCCGATAACAACTCTTCTATCGATTTATTTAGACAGACAGAAGCTTAGAATAATACACACTCATCAGTTTAGTTTCTCACACAAATTGGTTAAGGTACTCGTCCACACTGGTGTATTTGACATCAGGATAAAGCTCTGATGCTTCCACTCCAAATGATGGTTCAATCTCGAAATTCGTCTGATCTCCCTTCACGAAAACAGAGTGACTGATCGACAGTATCACATTGACTGGAATCGGAGCTTCTGCAAGAACAAGCAACGTAAAATTTGACATCATTCTAAGCAAATCATAGACCAACTCAATAAGTTTTTGAAGTATATGTCTCACTTACCTAGGATGTTCTTCAGAACTTCCTCTTCCGGAACATATATGCGTTCGAGTGTTTTGCCGATCTTCTTCTCCCACAAGGACACAAGGTCATTGAACGAGTAGATGTTGCCGGGAGGTCTAATGTAGAGGATTTTGTTCAAGGTTCTCGGATCATCCACGGCTTTGATGGTATACGTGCCAATGTCGTCTTCCTTGTTAAAGATCGCTGTCATGAAAGATGACACTGGTAAGATCAATGTGTCTAAAATGTCTATGACACTTGTTTAACTAGGATCGATCACTTAGAATATGTAATAATAATAATATGTAAATACCATTTAAACTTGTAAATTATACGGGACATGTACTCTGTACACTTCAATGCACGTTTCAAGGGAAGTGTTCATTACCTTTCGGATTCCCGTCCCCTAAGATAACAGCTTTATCTCTAGGAGGAGCTGTTGCTCCTGGCTGTGACAACGTTGGAAGAAAATAGCCAGCAAAAAAGTTGGAAGAAACATAAGTATACGGAATTCCCGCAGCCTCGACAGCTCTGCGGACTTGAGCCTTTATGGCGAATGCTGTTTTTGCTGGCTCAACCGCATTGACACGATCCACATCGTTTCCAAACTCCGAAGGGAAGAATCTCTGAATAACATAAAGCATTTTTAAAGCATAAACTTCAACAAGGCTGGAGTTCTCATAATATTAGAACAAAGAGAATCTTAGTTAATTAGCGGCTCAGATGACAATGACCGAGAAATAAGACAACACAAGAAATATATATATTTTTTTTTTGGATAAGTAAAGACAACACAAGAAAACTTGAAGTGAAATTTTAACCAATTCAACGAAGAAGAAAAACAATCTAAAATCCTTAGAGATCCCGGGTCATTTCAGTTTGTTAACTTATTGAACTAATAATATACCTAAATATTTCACCTAAAAACTCCCTAGTTAGGCAACATTTATGTCATCATGTTGAATAATTTGGGAAAAGAGAGAATATCGAGAACCATCAGTAATAGATACGTACTAAAACAACATAAAATAAATAACACAAGATGATTTATGTGCTTCAACATGTAGATCTTATCATAGTTCACAGTCACGGTATCGGTATTGGTCGCGGTGCCTGTGTACCGGATTCGGACAAATATCGATGTAAACCAGCCGAACCGGTTGGTTCATGGAGGTATATAACAGTATGTGACTCTTGAAAAAGGGTTATGAATTGCTCAATATGGCAAACCATGGTTCTTATTCGTTATGTCTCAATGAGTAAATGGAGATCACAAATTAAGTAAAATGAGTGACAACAATTAAAGAACACGATTTAAGGAAATTAGCATCAATCGCTCTCCATATCAACACACAAACAGAAACAAATCCCATAAATCTCTTTACTAGATTGGTGACAAACTGCTAAATCAAGGAGAACACTATTGCAATTGGGAGAAGGTCCTCACAAGTTCTGCTCTTAAAGTTAGTGATCAGCAATGAAACTTAACTCCTGGGAAAGAGATAAAGTCAAGTAATGTCCAACTGTTTTTCTACCAAGAGATCAAGTATTTAAGTTAACAAATTTAAGATGGCAAAATTGCCCTGGCATACAAGAATGATTCAACGTAAAAACAAGGGAAAATTGCATAAAACCCCTCCACTTTCAATTTTTGGCACAAAACCACCCTGCAAATGTCTTTGACATGAACTACCTTTAACTATCCAATTATTGCAAAATGATGTTTTAAAGATGAAAATGCCCCTTAATATAAATTTAACAAAATTTTGGTTTTGTTTTCCTTTTTAATTTTTAGAAAATAGAACTTTAATTTTTTTTTTTTTTTTTTTAAATTACACACCATTAAAGTAATGTTATAATGATGAAAATGCCTCTTAATAAAAATTTTAAAAAATTTAGGTTTTCTCTTAAAATGATTTTCATTGTAAGTTTTTTTTTTAATATAAATTGTTTCAAGGTATTTTCATTTACTTATAGATGCACCATTATTATTATTACTATTATTATTATTATATTTATTTATTTATTTATTATTGTATTATTATTTAATGTTTTTTTTTTTTTTTTGCGAAAATAATTCTCAAGAACACTATGCTAAATGAGTGATTTGTTTTAATTTTAATCTTATATTAAGGGTCACCATTTCCTTAATTTTTATTTTATTTTTTTTATTTTTAATTTTTTTTTTTCTAATTGGGACTTACACACTGCCTTCACACACACTGTCTCAGCTGAGGTTCGAACCCCCAACCTCCGTTTGGAAAATAGGAGCCTTCCGTTTAGAAAATAGGAGTCTTATACAGCTAGGCCACAGTTATAACCTCACTTTGCTATGGTCATGAATCATGAATGATGTGTTCCAATATTATACGAATTTTAGAATTAATGTTGAAAATATTCACACAATATTTGGGATATTTGAGAAAGTGTGAAACTTATTGATAGTTGCAATAACAAGGAATACAAGTGTATGTAATAATACAAAGCATAAAGGACCATTTAAGATCAAGACAACAAAAAATGAAGAAAAGACTTGGAAAAAAAAAAAAATGAAGAAAAGACTTGGGAAAAAAAATGGGAGATTGAAGAGCTTTTACCTTAACATTACCAGCTTCTTTAATGGCGGCGATGAGGTTGACTTGATCGGCCAACTGACCGTGACCAACGGTTGAGATCACCACATCAACCTGCTTTATCGCCTTCACCAAACTCTCGTGATCGTACAGATCTCCCTGTATGTATATATTAGTAGTACCAACAAAACACTCTCAATTAAATGATCAACCAAACAGCCCCTTACCCAAAACACTAACCCAACACTTAAAACCTAACCCTCCAAGAAAAAAGAAAATAGAGTAAAATTAGCAATTCACATTTTACAGACTCATTCCAAAAATAACGCAAAATACATCCACTCAAATTTTAAAAAAGAATAATACTTCATGTGTCATTTTCTTTCATTTTATTCAGTTTTCTAGGGAACCAAACAGATTCAATTCATAAAGAAAATAGAGGAGAGGGAATCGAACTGTACGGACATGGATCAAAGTGACGCCGGAGCTCTTGAAGCTCTCGATGATTTGGGATTTGTCAGGACTTGAAACAGTGGATTCTCTCACAAGAGCAAACGTCGGGTGGCCGGAACTGGCGCTCGCCCGAACGATGAATTTTCCAATGTATCCGGTCCCTCCGATGATCAGAATCTTGCTTTTCTCGGCCATTTTCAGAACTTTCCTTCAAAATTCAGGCTAAGTTTGTGTTTAGCGGTGAGAAAATCAGACAGAGAGAGAGAGAGAGAGAGAGTGAAGTTTAAGCTACACACAGATACTCTTTGCTTAGACAAGCAGAATATATAAATGCTATAAATACTAGAATATAATCCCATGAATTTTGGGGTTAGTGAAATTACATAAATACCCTCATATTAAGTAATATCTTCCAAAATGCCCTTATTGAGTATATAGCCCAAATGAGATGTGGTTCATGTATCCGTCTATGTTCTGATTAGGGAAAAACATGATTAGGAAAAAACATGAGCTGTGCTGTGAATGTGACTGTGACGAGGGCATGACATAATAACTATACTAGGTAGTAGGTAGCATCAGTAGTACTATGTTTATTTTAATTAAATGTTTGCAATTCTGTAACATTTATATATATATATTGATTGAGATAGGAAAGCCATTTTGGTTTATATGGTTGTGGATTTATTGTTGCATGATTCGATTCCTGTTTTTTCGAAATTTGAAAATGACAGGTTTGACAATTACTTCTATTTGTCATAATTATTTTCAAGGCGAAGATTCAATCAATCATCTCTTTTGCTAGTGTTAGGTCGTTGTCTAAAGTTACAGCCAATAGAAATATTTTTATTTTTTATTTATAAATTTGTATTTCTATATATATTATAATATTTTTAATTTTTATATTTTTTTCCTACTTATCTCAATTTTAAAAAGGCATGGAAATAAAATAAAATTTAATAATGAGCTTAAAAGATTTTTATACGTATCTTAAAAAAGAAAAATGAGAATTTTTCTCATAATTCCATATTTTTTATTATCTTCAAGCGTTGTGGGAATCGGTAAAACTTTCCATATTACCCTCTAAATTTTTATCTTCTCTCCATCCTCTCTCTCGTTACATCTTCTGCACTCATCACAATCTCAGCTCACTTCATCTAAATTTTATTTTATTTTATTTATTTTTTTTAAGCATTTGGACCTGATTTTTATAAATCAAGTTCTATTATTCTTTAGCTTAAATTATTTTGTAGTCTTATTATTTTTTATTATCATAAAATTGTATATTTTGTTTGTCACTTGTGACTATTTTTATTTATATGATTGAATATGTCTTCTAAAAATTAATAGAATAATAAATAAACTAATTTAATCTAAAAAATGAGCACCAACTCTTTAAAAAAAAAAAATTATTTCCACCACCAACTTATATTGTATGACCAAAGGTTAAGGTATGTAAAAGAAAAAAAAAAAAAGGAGGAAAATTTGAGAATAAAAAAGGAAAAATAAAAGACTTAAAAATAAATAGTACCACTAAGTTGGTGGTGGAAATAAAACAATTGAAATGTTGGTGGTGTAGACAGTGACAGACCTAGAAAATTTTGTGAGGGGGGACGGCCTTTTAATTTGTGCACTTATATAGTGGGTCCATTTTTTGTAATTTCAATAGGATTTTCGTCATAAATTTTTTAAATTTTAAAGTATAAAATGAAGAAAAAAAAATAGTTCGTTTGGGAAAATTGTAATTTTAGTGGGGACATCTTCATAAATTCTAAAAAAAATAAGGTATAAAATGAAAATATAAAAAATTTAGTGGGGACATCCGCCCCCATTGGTCCTATGCTAGGTCAGTGTCTGGGTGTAAAAATAAAATATGCATAAAGGAAGAAAATGAGGAAATATTCCTCACTAGCTAGGAATAATAAAAACGAAAACGATGAAGGAATAAAATTCAGTTAGTGGAAAATCTCCACATATCATATATATAATAGGATAATGTTTGGCTACTCACCGGTGAGTAGTTTCTGTTGACCTTAATAATTTCATCCAAAAACAATAAAGAGGTTTTGATGATAACAAACCATTAATGGTGTTTAAGGACTAATGTTTACATTGAGTGTAATATAGATTATTCATATTCAAAGGATGACCTCAATGAAGTACGGAAGATCATAAAGTCAATTCCAAGTATTCCATTATTCAAGATCACATCAAGAAAAACAATGGATACAAAGAAGACAAGAAGTTGCAAAGAAACAAATGCAAAGTCCATTCAAAGATAGCTTGGACTACAACGAGTAAGAAAGCAACTCAAAGAAAGGAAGAAAGCAAGTCTACCTAAAAACCTATATGATCATGGACAAAGCGTAAAGAAATGGGTAGATAGGATGGTGAGTGTTTATGATTCAATGTTAAAGTATTTATGAATCCATTTGAAGCTCTTCTCTATAGGACCATGCATATGATATCATCATTTATATGTTCCTATATATATTAGCAATAGACTATGCACTTCATATATAATTGCATATGAAGTCATTGCTAAAGTGTGAGTTAGTTCAAGCTTACATAAGCTTTGAAAGAACTCATCACTTGTGCTAGAAATGCTAAGACCATGCACATCAATCATATAATTCATACTGGTCAACAATTAAGGCATGAGAAGCCTTCATTATCATGAGTTGGTAACTGATATTAGGATCCCTGAATGCACGTCATAAAAAAGTGTGTTTTTGGCTAAGTGTGAAAAATGAATTTTTGAAATAATGATTATTTCAAAATAATTTTTTCCGGTAATAACTCTTTATACTTCAACTAGTCTAAACTGATTTTATCAGAATTTTTGACCAAGTCTACATTGGTCTACACGAGGATTCATTTTTACCAAAACTGTCGGAAATCCAAATTTGTACTAAAACTGAATTTCTACATTTTGATTTAGTTGGATTTCAATTTTCTAGTATTTTTTATTGAATCCAAATGTGGGGTACTTCCTTATTTACATTGTAAATTTAAAGTAAATGGACATATAAATTAACGTAAAGAGATTTACTTTAATGTTTTTAATGAAAATAAGGTATGTGTGGATATCCTGTGCACAGACTGTTTCATCTGTTAACTTAGAACATTTTCTGAAGCATCAGTTCTATTTCGGTCTACCGAAATACAAGACCAAGTTAGTTCGGTCTACCAAACTAAGAAAATGAAATGTTGCTCTAAGAGTTTCAGACGACTGAAACTAAGGAGCCAAATGCATTGGCTCGTCCGATTCTCACAGAATGGTTTTGAATAATGGAGGAAGCAGTTTCGGTTGACCGAACCAAAAGCAAGAATCCTTCGGTCTACCGAAATAAGTATGATGGCCAACCTCAAACAGCTTCGGTCGACCGAACCTCAGTAGTGTTTCATTTCGGTCTACCGAACCAGCGCGAATTCAAATTCAAATGGCTATTTTGCCTTGAACCGCGTGCACAACAGCTATATTTTTGAATTGGCTTATCAAAACTTTATAAATAAAGCTACGGATTTCGAGATTAAGTGTTGCTACCATTGAGAAATATTATATAGCATCCAAAGAGTTTTTGTTCTTTATTCATATCATACTCTCTTATCCTATATCATTAGTAGAGTATTGAGCTTCAATCTATTCATACATATACTCTAGAGTAAGCTAAACTTGTACATCAAATCTGTGAGAGATTATTATGAGCTTTGATTTGCATATCAATCTTTAAGAGATATATTTGTATGCAACAAATCTGATCTTCATTTGTAAAGGCTGGTGTGGCCCAAGAAAGAAGAAGCACGCTAGCTTCATTTTGTAAGGGTTGGTGTGACCCAAAGGAAGACTAAGAGAGGTTGTCTCTTAGCAAAGTGAAACAAGGAATTGCTTTAAATCAAGGTTTACTCTCCACCCGTAAGGAGGTGCCATAGTGGATTGGGAGGTCTCAAAAGGGGTCTTGAGCCGAGGAGTAGGAGTTTCCGAACCTCGCTAAAATCACCGTGTGAATGTTTGCAATCTTTCTTTCCTTATCTCCTTTACATTTATGCTATTAATTGTTCATATTTATATCTTGATAATTGCATAATTGTTAGAAGGGTTTAGTAATATTTGCAAATCCGAAAATTGGCCATTGTTTGCCAAAGACTCTATTCACCCCCCCTCTAGAGTCTATACTTGGGCAACAGTTTTATCCTACTGACCTCTTATGTGTCCCAATAAAAAAATAACACATCAACTTAAAAAAATAAAATCAACAAAATAATAAATAAAAAAAAGAAAAGAAAAGAAAGCTGGATCAACCCATTTTAATTAAAAAGCTCTGTGTGTTTTATTCAATGGTTCGTTGTATTTATAAAAAAAACTTGTACTAGAAAGCATATATCAACCATAAATCAAAATAATAGTGGTCAAATGGAATCAATAGTTTAACTTCTCATGATGTCACTAGAAGAAGTCACAGTTGCACTTATATATAGTTCATGCTTCTTGGAGTAGATCAAGCGATATTTCAAATCGCTCAAAGGAATCAAATGAAGTTGATTCAGTTAATTCTGGTGATACCACCACCACCTCTGCCGTAACCTCCCACCATGGTCTCATGATGTAAATGGATGGATCTAGATTGATCTGTGGGTTACTCCTATGTTTGTTTTTACACTTTTTTGCACGAATCAAGCATGGTGGTGGTGATAAGAGATGTGATATTGTGCAATCACCGATTTGTGGAGAGAGATGGTGGCAGCGGCTGTGGTTGAGGAGAAGTGGTGGCAGTGACGGACCCAGAAAATTTGGTGAGGGGGGGCGAATTTTTAATTTGTGGGTACAAAATTATATGATGGGTTCATTTTTGTAATTTTAATAGGGTTTTTTTCATAAATTTTTAAAAAATTTAAGTATAAAATGAAAAAAAAAAAATTAAGTGGGGCAAATTATAATTATAGTGGGGCATTTTCATAAATTATCAAAATTTGAAGTATAAAATGCTAAAAAAAAAAAGAATCCAGTGAGGGCGAATTGTAATTTTAGGGGGGCATTTTCATAAATTTTAAAAACATTAAGGTATAGAATGAAAATATTAAAAATTTAGGGGGGGCAAATGCCCCCCCTAGTCGCCTGCTGGGTCCGTCCCTGAGTGGTGGAGTATAAGGAGGAAGATGAAGGTGGCGGTTATGGTTGAGGAAATGGTGGTGGCAGGATGTGGTTGAGGAGATGGTGGCAGCGAGATGTGGTTGAGGGTAAGTGGTGGTGGTTGTGGTTAAATGGTTGTGGTTGAGGAGATGATGGCGGCGGGTGAAGAGAGAGA